GTTGCAATAGTTCGATGGAAGTTTACCATTTCACGTGATGGTCACATACCAAAGTCTGTCGGTAAATCTAAAACCTCGCATCGTAACCTTCGAATAAAATTAAGCAGTCTTCGTAATTTTCTCTACAATGACCAAGACGAGTAGAACCCAAACTTTATATTCATTTTTTATAGTGTTCACCTTATCATTTAAAATGTCGTTTTTCGGGGTTGGAGTCCTCATCATTACCGTTTGTATTCCTTCTCGAGATTTTTGCACGAACAGATATAAATTTATACACAAAAAGGTGAACTGGTTGATTTTTTTGCTGCTAAGAGTCTAGATAACAAAATCGTAATCGTTATACACGATTATTCTGCCAGTAGATACTACTCCAAAATTTATACTCCATATGTGGTCTAAGTATATCTTGCAGATAACACGATTGGTGGAAAGCTAACTCTCATACGGCAACTCAGAAATTAATACAGCTAAAACCGATCACGGATGACTACTACACAAATACATGGCCTCTATCCTGAACGTAACATATATAATAGAAGTCCTTTTCGACTACCAATTGTGTGGATAAATCCCGTTTACACTAAAAATTATTATAAGGATAAAAAATTACTGTATTCGACTTATGTGAAGAGTACGCAGATATTTTTTGAGTCTTCGACCGCTCACGTCATGCATCAGTCGCAAAGTTGTTGCAATTCATGAGTAAAACTCAATTGGTCGCGCCTGTATACAGCGTAATAAGCGCCTACTTCGATCAGTCGCTCCATGAAATATGAAGCTTTTTGTATTCATATTTACTAAAATATATCTTTCTCTGATCCTAGGGACATATTTTTCCGTTCGAATTCGTTTAAGCTAACTTTTATCAGTTTTATGCATCATACATTCTACTTTTGACTCGATGTGTATGTACACATAAAATCATTTGACTTATGTCTCAGGTCTCTCAAATTTTTGTATGGAAGTTTCCTTCAAGACAAGAATACATGTTCGATCGGCTCGACTATTTTATGCGATGGTCTTTCGACGTTAAAAGTAATATCAAAAAATCGGAAGTTTAGCTTGTAGTATTGATTTTTCCACGATACTTTAGCCATAAAATAGGCGGGTATGAGCGCTAGGACGTCATAGTCCCTTGCATACTCTACTATATAAGTAACGTCAATAATAAAGGCATCATTTTTCAATAAAGTTATGGCCTTTTTTCTGGTGGTAGGCAATTCTATTATAATTTCAAATGTATCTTTCAGGTCGATACAATAATCATAATCATCGACTGTGCAACTTTCATTGCGTTACAATCATCATCAGTCTATACGTTATTATCTCGGATGCAACCGTTTTGAAAGCGGAAAAATTGCGTTGTAGGGTCGCATAATTTCCAGACCGTAATAGTGGTGTATTGTCTTCGTTACACATCAAGATGTATCTTAGGTAGTATTTCCTTACAAATCATTCAATACTAATCATCTGATGTACATAAAAGGTGTGAGTTGTGAGCGAAATAGTGGTCACAATGCGTCGTACTTATTGTTTCGCTTGTATGTAGGTTCGAAACCCATAATCAACCAAAAGGATAGGATTGTTATGTGAGCGGACCCAGTTTTTTTAGAACAACTCGTACTCAAGCTATCTGAAACAGTATGAAAATCAGAGTTGATGATATATTAAACCCGCTTTAGTGAATTCTTACTTTCTTACGCTTCCTCGTGACAACTATTGGGTTTGTCAGCGCATCGGGTCCTTATAGTATACAACGAGCATATATCTCTATAAATATAGACGTATACAAATCTTGTACGATACATATATGTCAAAAAGGTAGAAATTGACATGCTATCGTCTTTCACGATTATGACTTTATTTGGGTATCCTATTAGTTAATCGCGATTCGGCGGATGCAGTGACGTCACCCACTATATTAAGTATAGCTTATATGACGTGAATGGGGATTTATGGAAAATGAATGCGACTAAAAAGCGAAAACGGCAATGAGCGATTGTACAGGGGCAATTACACAGAAATCAACTCGAAGATTAACGATTGGTTACGGGAGGGGGTAAAGTAATCCCAAGAATACAGTACTTTTTAGGTTTTTCTTTGCCTTCAGTGCCACCTCCCGGACTTTCAACAACCTCATCAGTCGAGGTAGCAAAGCACGCACCGTTTAAAAAAGCGTCTTTTATAAGACAGATAAGCGGTTTTTGACAGCATGTTAAATGGCTTTTTATCGAGCAATTATTGTACGTCAACAGCGCTGACGCATCAGAATGGACCATCATCTTTTGGGCCTCGTCATCTTTACTATAATCTGCCGCAAGAAGCGACTTCGCAGCAACGTCTAGTTCTACTCCTGAATTCCTTCTTTCTTATCGCACTTTTGAGCTGTCCGTTTACTTCTTCGAGGTACTACGCGATGAAATATTCTCGTAATCGTAAAGTTTAGCCTTCTGCTTTCAATTGCTCGACCCTTGATTATCAAAGTAGCACGTAACTACTCGTCCTTTTGCATAGCATGAATTAGCACACGCAGCAATGTGTGCGCGAATATGTAAGCGTGTGGATTTTAATTATCTTTTCAAACGTCTAACAGTCTAGAAACAGCTCTATCTTTGAAAGGGGCTATTATCTGTCGTATGAGCTTCAATCTCGAGCTTTCGCATCATCCGAAACCACGTTTATTGTAAAACAATAATTATACCTAAGCTTTTGCACATTTTGAATATTCAACATGATATATATGATATCTAATGGGTTGGACTTTTGCATTACTTTTTTGCACCTTCCTGTTTTGTGGCAGGCTTTGATTGCGCTATTGCATTCGAATAAATATTGCAGCTAAGAGTCTTTCATGACACCCTTTTGATCAAAGGATGTCAATTTGAATCGTTTGAACGGGTACTCGTTCGCCAGCCTGTAAACAATGACTTGTAGCTTGCTTACCTCGCACCAAACCAAGCTTTTGAGGTCCTCGCTGGTAAAGCAATGATGTATATTGTTTCTGTGCGTCAAATAATTTGGTATGATGTTGGTGATTGCGGCATGGTGTCTGCTGCTCATCAAGGGTAAAGCATGACACTGGTACATGGCCCACAGACGATCAAAGTCATTGTCTCAACTTCGTCTTTTCTAAACCACTTACAAGTACATATTCTAGTGCGATCGCTGGTTGTTTCTTCCGTGATGAGATTCCGTGTCCGTTTGGACGACCATGCAGTACATGTACTTATAACGGGTCACCCGCAATATAGTGGCAACAGAAATGATTAACTGATTGCGCTTGGAACGAAATTCCAGCAATGTTAGGTAATAATTACGGGGGAAGCGAAAACGACGAGGTTCATACATTTGATTGTGAGAAGACATAGAATCATGCTTTTGGCAGACATACTGATTGGTAAATGCCTAACGCTATTGATTTACATTCAAACTTTTTATAACGGTAAAAACACAAAAGAAAGTGATAAAGGGGTAAACTTCACGGCGTCTAAGTACTTGCCACCCATTGCGCTCGGCCATCACTGAGAGTTCGTCTTGTTGGATAACAAAATGACCTGCACCAGCCAACAACATTGTGTGCAACTATTGTTGAAACATACACAAACTCCACAAATGGCGTTTCGGCGTTATCAAAAAACATGTGACGTGAATATCTAATTACTACTTTACCCAGCGCTGGCATTGTCATGCGTTTCTTTTCGATGTTTCCTCGAGGTGTCCAGTTCGGTATCCAGTTGATAAGCAAGGATCTTATGCACCAAACTGAGATATCACCCCTCTGATGCTTCCATTATGCAGATTGATTAGACCCTCTGTCCAGGTGAACAATAAAAGCGATAAACTGTTGGTTTGCCGCGAAGGGTAGGCGTCGTGTGTGGATGTCGTGGTAACGACCGAACTTATTTCCAGAAAAGCTTCACTTTCTATACGACAAAGTACAAGCACGTGTTTGTATATTGTTGCTCCTTCGTCTTGTATACGGATAAAGCGCTAATCCGAATTACGTATGGCTTATCGGTATCGTGTCAAATATACTTTAATGTCTCGGTGAATGCAAAAACTCGAGCAGTAATCAGCAAGCATACTTTGTCGCGAGAACGCTACTAAAACTTTTGTACCGATAATTGGCAACCAAGGCTTACCCTCAATCATTCCTCCATTGTATGCCGGAAAATGCCGCTTGTAGACATCCAATTACGACGTAGCAAACCTCTAACTGATAATGGCCAAAATAAAAAAGTGCTGCTTTTCAGTTGCAAGGTCATCCGTCAAGCTGATGGATATGACTAAGTACGGGGCAAGCAATTGACTAAGTGGGGTGGGGCGAATAGGTAGAGCTTGTTTATCGTTATTGCCTTACCAGTTACCACATATTTCGCTCTACCAGCTTAAGAAAAGTCTTTCTTGTTAGAAGTAGGTGTCACAGTTTCACTTATGCAAAGGGAGAGGAAAGAAAACGTAAAATATATTTAGTGTTAACTACTCCCCTTGTCAACACAACGTTTGCATATCCCAAAACGGGGCTACAACTGGACCATGTTAAGTTGCACATGGTGTCCGTCTCTCCCTATTCCATGTGTCGACCGATCACATAATTAGCCAATCGGGTGAGGTCGGACTCTCCTGCAACAGGTATTGCACTTGAACTGCAGGACCTTTTGACCTGTCAGAGAGAGTACTTTCATTCCTTGCTTTATCTCTCGATCTCTGAAAAGGAATACGCGGCCCTGGCAAGGCGGCCGCTTATCCGGGTGCGCTCAATCAAATTTTTAGTTTAGCGTCACTTATCGGGCGGTTCTTTGCGACTACTCGTTTATGACCTTTCGCTGACAATGCGACGACCAACGAAACGACCAATCAGAAGCATTTTGCTCTATTTGGTCCGGCTTCTACCCCTCCGTTCCAATCTTCCGACCTCTACTGAGGTGACGAGGTCAAATTCGCACAAGGCGAAATCTGTCCTTCAGCCCAAGCAGCACAGCAAGACGCCTTGTACTATGGCGACTCGAACGCGGGCTCCTCCAGCTCGATCTTTCTCTGACAATATCGACTTGTCAGATCGGAGACGCAGGCCTCCTGGCAGCGCGCGGCTGGTTGATACGCTCTCGCCGTTCCGAAAGTTGCTTCAGTCTCATTCGCGACGACGCGCCGTTAGTGACACGTCGGGCGAGTTTAACGAGTTGCTTTGGACGGAAAACAGCAAAGGAAAGTCGATCAGGAAGTTCCACGGTCAGGCCAGAGGCATTTTGCATGGCATTTTTTTCGTGCTGCTGCTTCGTGTTCTGCTGGCGCTTGTGGCCGCTGTGGGAACGGTCGGGATGGTCACTGTGTTGGTTGTGGTGTTCAAGAAGGAGCCCGTTGTGTCGCTGATGAGCTATGTGTTTTCATAGTGTTTCAAAGGGCTTTACATCGGAGTTGGTGGCTTGATAAAATTGCTCAGGAGGAAACGCTTGGGGACGTGTTATCGCGCTAGCACTACACGGATATAAGCAAACAAGTTCACTTGCTGCAATCGCAGCCACAAGCAAGTGTCATTTTATGCCCATAGATTTGCCACATCCACGCGCTGGGTAGCATTCTTGCTACGCAGACAACGTGTATTTTGGTTTGTGCCTGTGTAAATCACTTCTGTCTAATGCGCACTTTCCACCAGACAGCTACGCAGAATTTAAACTTTGTGCGCAACATGTAGTCGTTGCTTCACGTGTGTGGCAGTGTTTGCACTTGTCGTTCAACCGACGCATTACAGTAGCATTCCATTCGACAACTTGCACACTTGAAAGCGAAATGTCCAGCTACAACTTTGACGCCATCACGACTACTTTTGCCACAATCACTGTGATGTCGTCCGGTTTAAGGTTGTGCCGCAGTGAGGCCATCACAATATTCTTGGCTGCCTCGTCGGGGTTCTCAAGGAGTACTTCCACAAAGGACGCAAGCGCTTCTGACCAGTACCGTCGCCAGAAGAGCACCGGCTAGAATACATGTACAGCTCACAAACGTTAACATCGACGGGTACACCTTGAAATACAAGTAAGTAGCTCTCCTACCGGAAATTGCGCCGGCATCTTTTGAAGATCCGGCGCGAAATTGTCCCATACGCCGTCTGTGGCTAGCACCACAAGGTCTCCATCTTGAACATCAATTTCACCTGACTCCGCCTAAGCCGTCGTGAACCACAAATGTCATTCCCCACACCCATTCATACGCAATACATCTCAATTTGCACATGCTTACGTCGTCTGGGCAATTTTCGATGGCGCCATACTGCTTGAATCGCAGTGGAACTTTTGCCAGCTGATACGGTGCACGTCCATAACACTGTTTCACAACAAACACAGCAGCGCTTGCTCAGCTGATCCCTCCACCAATTCAGCTAACAGTCGCTGCCAATTTACAGCCAACCTGAAACTGACTTCGAAAGATGATTTCGCCACGTCGAATGACCACAAAGCCCGAGTCTCCAAGATTTGAGTACTCCAGGACCGGCTTGCCGTCGCTCGAGTGCTTGAGTCTTACAATGCACGCAGTCGTGCTGCCAGCTTCCACTTCGTCGTCTAGTACTGCTTGATTGTAGCCATAAGTCAGCATTTGCTGCGTCGAGGCGCTATTGTTGTTTGCTTGTTGCTGTCGCACGAACGCGGCCGCATTGCGCATCAGCGAGCGCGAGATCTTGCCCGGATCCACTCCGTTCTCGTTCCAGCCACCGACGCCATCAGCCACTCCCACAGCTTCCGGTGTAATGAAAAAAGAGTCCTCCCCACACGTGGCTGGATCGGCTCCGATGCTGCTGCTGCTGCTTCCCTTCTCTAGAACACAGTCCTTACCCTTACATGCGGCCTTAGCGTCCAGAAAAAGAGAGGCGGTGCCAGTCGTGCGCTTCTTGTTATTTGGAAGCGAAGACTTGGCCGTCGAAGAGCTAAAGTGGCACGTGCGGGGCGCAGATCTCGCCATCGCCGCTCGACCGAACGACCGCTGGACGGCCGACGCGCCTCGGCAGACGCGGTGCAGCATCATAGCGGGTATGCAGAGACGTGCTGGCCGTTGTTGGAGTTGTTTTGACCAATCCACGATCTGACTCGCTGTGATTGGACATAAAAACGAACACGGGGCTGCACTGGTCACCAAGAACTCGCAGAGTCAGTCAGTCAGTTGTCGCCGGCGTAGGAGAGCAGCATGTCGTGGGCCAAGCACAAGAAGATCCTGGCCATGGCTAAGGGCTACCGTGGCCGTGCCAACTCTTGCTACCGCACGGCCATCAATCGTGTCGAGAAAGGTCTGCAATACCAGTACCGGGACCGCAAACAGAAAAAACGCGTACGTCGCAGCACTGGTATTAACGAATAACGAGTCTCGTTACGGGTTTCTGTATGATGCTGTGCTTACCAATTGCGTGACCGTTGATTGCTTGTTGATAGGACATGCGCTCGTTGTGGATCCAGAAGATTAATGCCGGCGCGCGCCAGGAAGGACTGTCGTACTCGAAACTTTACGGCAAGATGAATGGCTCGGGCATCGAGCTGAACCGCAAGGTGCTGGCGGACATGGCTGCCACGGAGCCTTTCAGCTTTAAGTCGGTACTGGAAGTTGTCAAGCACATGGAGGGTGTTACCAGGATCTAATGACGATACTGGCGTTCCGGTATAGGGCAGACAGGAACATATTGTGTTTGCGTACTTTGGCGATGCCAAGACAACCGTGTGACAAAAAGATGCAGCTCATGTTTAAGTGCCCAGCGTTTCTATTTGCGCTTCAGTTTCTTTCAACGTCCATCCTCGCTCACTCGTTATCAATGTCTAGTTGACTATTCTGGTCGCGATTGCGCTTCTCGATGCCATACAAGTGCTGCCTTAAAACTTTGAAGTTCTTAGTGTCAAGGCCTACTTTGGTCTTCTGTAAACGCAAAGAGCTTCTGGATGTAGCTGGCTGTAGTCCACGCCAGTCCCTAGCAGTTGACACCGACCTTGTCTGAGATCGCAGCGAATGCCGAGACAAAGAGGCAAGCGTTTGTCCATCAGACTGTTGTCGCCGCGCACATGTTGCGAAATGCCGCTAATTCCTAACATTGGTGTGGCAACTTGATCGCGATACTGACGCACATTACTCGTATCTCATGGTTCGGTAGCCTTCAAACCCGCGAGGTCGAAACTCTTTTTCGCGTCTTTCCACCGCAAAGGCGGCGCTCAAGCACATTTGTAATGTCACCATTTACGCGCAACGATCACGTGTACGTGGTCCCCTCGTCTTCTCGGACCAAGTATTTGTTTTGCTATCGTCATCAGCTCTTGCTTCATCGAGGAGGATCGTGTCAACGATACGTGTTGAAATAGCTTAGTGGAATGAGGCCATCTTGCAGTCATTGACTTCGTTGCATATCGCAGCGTCAAACTGGCCTTTTTTGCTCACAAGTCGACGGATATGCTGCATTGTGAAGCGTCGAAGCGACCATCTCTTACGGTCGGTACCGTCGAAACAATCTGATACGGTACCAATTGCTTCGATTGAGATGTGAAAACGCTCTCGGAAAAAGCGATGCGATCGATTTACAACTATGCAGATTACCGAGCTACAAGGCATCATACAGACAATATGAGGAGACGTAACTCGAATAAGTATTGATGTGTGTCGTCGGTATGCAAACTCCACAGCGTATACGCCCAACATCTTCGTTCCTTGCTGTCCCCCCCACAAGTCAATTTGCATGCCCTCACCAAAGCATGCGACCTCCTGAAACCCGGCGCCAACTACATCATTCTACCTATGGCGCAGCAACCGGCAAGCGCAGCACTTATGCGCCACCTTTGCCTCGGAAAGCGCGCACACCGCGACCCATGCCGCTTGGGCCTCCCCGACCTCCGCCCATCATGCCCCGCATGCCTTGGCCGCCCATAGCAGCGCTCATGGGCGCACCTCCAGCTCCACCCTGCGGCTGCTCCGACTTGGGGTTGCGGACAGTCTCGTCCACCGACAAAATGAGACACGCAGCCTCTGTTGCTGCCGCGATTGAGTTAATCTTGTTGGCTGCAGGCTCCCAAACATGCGACTCATACGTGTCACAAATACCACCCGTCGTGATATCGACGCCAAACCATTTGCCATCCTCGGGGTCCTTGAAGTGCTTCTGGCGCAAGCGGTTCAAAATGTCAGTCGCGTCGTGACCAGCGTTCTCGGCAATCTGGCGCGGAATGACCTCGAATGCCTTGGCATACGCATTCACAAGTAGCTGTGCCTTGCCTTCGATAGTACGGGCGTACTGGCGCAGATGGCAAGAGACTTCCATCTCAACAGCACCACCCCCAGCGACCACTGTAGACGATGCCACAGCGCGCTTCACAACCATTAGAGCATCGTGCACCGACCGCTGAGCCTCTTCAATAAACTGCTCAGCACCACCACGCAGCACGATAGTCGAGCTCTTTGCCTCAGCACACTCCATGAAGATGTTGTACCGCTCGTTGCCGACCTGGCGCTCTTCGAAGCGACCGCATGAGCCAAGTACTGACGGATTCATGTCGTGTACCGACGTCTGAACAACACCACCGGTCGCACGCTGCGTACGCGCCATATCGTCTTGCGCGACACGTCCAGCGCAAAACAGACCGCGGTCAGCGAAGTACTGCGTTGCCAGGTCACCCACTGGCAGCTTGGACAAAATGATCTTAGCGCCACTCTTCACACACAGATCCAGCTTCTCATAGATTATGTTCCACTCAGCGTCTACAATGGACTGGTACTTGGAAGGGTCATCCAGACGCACTTCAGCATTCTCCTTCTCCGACTTAAGCTCCAGCTCAACGTTCAGAAGTAAAATTTTCGGGCTTACAAAAGTCTTGGGCTGCTGCTCGAACCCGGCGTACGAAAACGTCTTTTTGAACGCGACGCCCTTCACCAAGAAGGAATCAGTCACCGAACCACCCGGCACTTTCTTAATGCCGACCATGCTAATGTCTAATCCCTCGTCCAAGCTCAACACTGCGTCAACGATCTACACAGCCACCACAATGATAAGCTTTGTACAATATAGTAATATAGCAAGAAAGAAGAAAAAGAACACCCTTACCATCGGAGAAAAAAACTGCTTGTGTCGCGAAATGAGCTTCGAGTTAAGAGCCGTGCCACTGACGCGCTCTAGCATCTGACGACGACCCACTTCATCCGAATCGGCCACGCGTACCTCGATGTCCTTAATCTTTTGCACAGCGAGTTGTCCCGCCTTGCGAAAGCTCTTAATGATCATCTGCGGGTGCATGTTCTCCTCAATGAAAGGCTTGGCCTGCCGCATGAATTCAGCACCCATCAAAACGACGGACGTCGTCCCATCTCCCACTTCTGCGTCCTGTGAGAGCGATATGTCCACCAGCGTCTTGGCAGCCGGATGCACCACGTCCAGCAGGTTCATGATAGTGGCGCCGTCATTCGAGATTGTGGTCTTGCCACCTGTATGGATGAGTTTGTCCATACCACGCGGCCCAAGCGTCGTGCGCACGGCATCCATCACGGCTTGGCAGGCGTTTATGTTGCTGATGAGCTGAGCCTTACCCTGGCTCGTGTCCGTGCCTTCCTTCAGTAATATAATCTGTGGCTGCTGCTCAAGGAGGCGAGAGAGGGAGGAAGTCAGAGAGGAGATACATTGAACATGAAGATAGGCATGCGTGGAGGTCGCGCAGACAGAGCTCCTAGAAACGTACCATCATGCCGTTCATGGCACTCAAGAAGATGGATCAACGAGGACGGGGCTCGCAGCCAAGGAAGATGGATGTAAACGCCACGCAAAAATCTTGCTCCAATAACTGGCTACCGCTACAAAACGTACTTAACACGGCACCCTCGAAGTAAAACATCGAGTACCGTCATGATACATGCTTCAGTTCGGGTTCGGGTGATTTATGAGTCTATAGGTAACTTATGGGAGAGGCTAAATTACACCGGGCATTATTGCTAATTACACCAGCGCCTATCCATTAGACTAAATGTTTAAATGCCAGCGGGGGTATCACATTCAGGCCACGTCGATTCGAATATCACAGGATAAGCTAAGAAGAAATGCACCTGTAATATAGCCACGTCAATTCAAAAAGAAGTCCTCCGTTGTTCAATGCATGTTGATGAGCCCTTCTTCCACCTCCACTACTGCTGCTTCCACTGCTACGATTGCTGATGCTATTACTAATTATGTCGTCGCTGACAATCAGGCCATATTCCAAGTTGATGCTGGTCTTGATCCTGCCGCCGCTGATCTCTCATGGATCGGTGAAGAAGCTCCACCGGTCGGGCCTTTTGACAGTCAAAAGACGGCTATATAGGCTTTGAAACAGGACGCCGTACGTCAAGCCTTTGCTATTAGTGTACCACGCGTCTGTTCGATTGTAAGAAGCGCTGTTTCTCACATGTTCGCAGGAAAAACATTATAGGACATACCACAGTCGGCGCACGTCAATGCGAGATCGCGAAACAAAAACAGTCTGCTGGTCATACGAGCTCGCAATCATGTATGACACGCGCGCCACAGAATAAAATCCCTGGTCAACGCTGTGCGTGAACAAATGCCACACCGACTACTCTCTTTTTATATCAGCAGGAGCATGCTCTCAGCGCTACCGACGTCGCGACGTGCGACGCGAGAATTGACGATATTTATTCTAAGGTCGTCCAGATGCATCAAGATGGAGCTGCTCCACGGGTATGTGTGCGTTTTGAAGCCATATACAGCAAGTCATTTTCTGTTTTTTGTCTGTATATGATTATATAGGTTATTGTTACTCAGTTAAAGGAGGCGGGTGTCCTTATAAATGCAATGTATGTCCACACGATATCGTTCAGAAGGCAAACCGAAAGGCTTTTGGCGGAAATTTGCACACGGAAAATTCGCTGCAGCACATGATGAGCCAGAATATATTTATCCACGGTTGCAGTGTCAAGTCGCGGATGCATTTTGATTACCTTATTCTGTAATTTCTTTACATTAGCGTGGCCTGGCTATGTCACAGGTGCATTTCTGATCATTTTATCCTGTAATTTCTTTAAATTAGCGTGGCCTGGCTGCCCCATCATTGATTTTATATGGACAATAAGTCTAATGAATAGGCGCTGGTGTATTTAGTAATAAAGCCCGGTGTATTTAGCCACTCCAGTGGCTTATTGACCATTACAACGCTTAAGTTCTGTACGCATGTTACTACTTTTGCGTAAGCCGCTCTATTTTCTGACGTGAAAGTGGGTACAAGCACCTCGTAAACATGGTCTAGTAAACTCGTTGACAACCATCTGCAAATATGGCACATTATATGCTCGTGCGTTTTTGCCAGTGGCAGGACTAAATTCGAAACAATGGAGATACACTACCCAAATTTCTCCGGTCATTTCTCATATGCGCACCGACCTTTGGTGGCTTAAGTACTCTTTTGGCCCTTAAGAACCGCATGTCTCGACCGTCTGCCCAGTATAAACATTTACTCCGATATTTGTCTACTAAGCGATGTCAGATCACAAACTACATCAAATGCGATGATGTACGTCTTTAAGCAACAGTATTGGCTTTTTTCAATGGAGAACGACAAAAATCGGCCCTGAGGTCTCACTATTTGCGGCATATCCTGATAAAAATTAGCCTCTGTGTGATACAATCTGCTTCCTCTGTCATTTCCTCACGGTGTAATAACTAATTCAACGGGTTTTATTGATAGCAATTATTCAAAAACCACGCTGACGTTGACGTGTCTTACCGACAGACACGTAGGTTGACGCACTAACAAGATAATCGAATGACATTCAAACATCGGCCAAATGTTTGGGTTAGCTCACGTTAAGATTTACAAAATTGCTTGATGTGGTCTATTAATGCGTCCTATCTAGTCAATCTGATGGGCAGACACACCCAAAAAATTCTTATCTCCTGTGAGAAGACATATATTTGCACATGCTTCCAAACTCAGTCGAACGCGTTACATTTTAGTTAGCATCATCGTGTACACTTTCTTCCATTTTCTCCTTGCCTCACATCGTTTCGTAAAACTTTCAATACAACAAACCATCAATCGATAGATCTCTGCACTCCGTTTTTTCAGTTCCACAAACATTTCTCTGGCCTTAGAGCCTAAACTCCTAGCTCCCTGAAGATCAATTTTTCGTGGCGAATATTTACATCGCGTTACCACGCTTACTGAGAGCTCACATACATCCTTCGACAGTTGAACGATGCAAATTATTTACTACATCAGCAGTCTTCAAACTGACTGTACCCATTGCATAATTTGCTTCTATATATTCTATCGGCAAAATCTCTTGCACTATGGGAGAATATGCGCCCTTGACTTTCAACATCGTATTCATCGAAACGACTTGTTCGTAACCGCTTCAAAAAACTCTTATTGCATTTGCACTTCTGTCATTCATGCACAGCAAAATAATGACTGCTTCGTGTTCTATAGTAGCCAAATCTGAAATAGTACCGTACTCATTGCGAGCACAATTTTTCTGTTTGAAGACTCGGCTATCAGGTCTAGTAGTTGTGGTTGGCAGCTGTGTTTCTGCAGTAAGTTTTAGTACATTTTAAGTCATTTCTAGCGCATGACAGCGTATAAGTCACTTCTCGTATGATTAAGTCACTGCCAAGGCCCGGCGTCGACCCAAAACGCGTTAGTCACGCATTTTTTAATGATAGCCTTCATCATGCTTTTTTTAAATTGACAAAAGAACGTCCAGGGTTGTCCGACAAAAAGATCAGAGTTCCACATACATTGATAATATGATTAATTTTAGTGAGTGTGTTTTCACATAATGACTACCATATTTAAGTAATGTGTACACAAGTCACGTATCAAAACACTATAATTACCAATTAACTACTCAATGTGCTAGACTTATGGTCTTACAAAGAAAGGTCTCGATTCATGTCATTTTGTATAGTTTCGAATTTGTTCTTGTTTACCGGAGCAAGTATTGCTTAAGCTCATCTTACGTGCTTTGGCAGATGCCATCTCGCTTGGTATAATTGCTTCGGCCATTGTCGATCACTCCACGAGAATTGTCGTGTAACAATCAAGTTCTGGACCGATTTTGACTTGAATATGCTATTCGATCTCTCGAAGTCACCCAATCTGATTCTTATTGTCATGATTTGTCTCTTATATGCTTGATCCATGTCATATAGCCTTCTGAACCATATTAGAAAACAATTCCTTACTAAAGCCAAGGATATCTAATCGGTCTCATCACGACTAAGTATCTAGTTGTATGCATAGATAGCTGTATTCGATAAAAGCTGGGTTTTCAAGTCACCTTATTCCACCTATCCAATCCGTAAAGAAAAAATGAGTTGTAGCGCAGAAAAGGCTATTTTCCGTCGTGGTGTCATAATTTAACTTCGTTAAGCTTTTTTTGAAAAACGCTACGCCGATTATGTATAATAACAATAATATATATATAAGGTGGAGGCAGACCTACTTCTATGTAGTATCTTCGATATATGTCTTTATCTCGATAATACTTCTATACAAAATATTCACCAATGACAAAGATCTACGTAATGTGGTCTATGCTACGTAATTCTTTACGCCTAATTATTCCGAAAAATGCTCGCTCCTCCCGTATCACCGCGGCTGCTGGCACGGATATTAGCCGGAACTTCTTTTTTAAGTACTGTCATTTTCCTCCTTAATGAAAGAGCTTTACAATTTAATTAGCCGTCATCACTCACTTGGTATTGCTGGATCAAGCTATACATAATCTTGAATATAGATCACAGTCCTAAAACACATAAAAGTATTGTAGCAAATGCAAATTATTGTGTCAAAAGTGTTTAAATATACTTAATCGCTTAAACAGCTACAACTTAGTCAAGAGCTATGTGTGTGAATTTTTGCTGAATGTCTCACAAACTTATATGATCAATTTAGTCACAAATACAACCCTTCAATATGTCAAGTTTTCTGCTCGACGGTATTAACCTTTACTTTGATAATGAAACGAGACATCCAATTGCCTATCGTTATATAGCCACGATGCAATCTTAAATAATGGCCAATGTATACATCTTGCGCATAACCACCAATTCATCACGCTATTTTAGCTTACAGCTCATGCATTTGACGGTAGCGTTCTCAATCACTACTCCTAACATCCATTTTAAATTCCATTTAGCATAATATAATAGTACATATGAGTGGAACTTTTAGCATGTATTTTTATCCAGATTATATATACATGAATTGCGACATACTGATGACACATCGAATGCGCTTCCATGTGTCACCACACACATTCTTCGTCCAGATACTCGATGACGAAAATCAGCAGCCCTGGACGGAATCGGTATGTTCAAATATTTGAATCTAAACCTTAATAATCCCGTTTCCATTCCGTGGTCAATCAAACTCATCGTCTCATGACACCAGTCAACGTGATTTGATCATTTACTCATAAAAGATACCATATCAATTGAAACTGCGCCAGTTAGAATCACGAATCCAGAATAATACATTTTCACGCGGCTAGTACTGGTTGTTAAATGGTTAAAAATATAAGGTGTCTTCCAAATATTATATTCATTATAGATTACTTCGTGTCGTACACTTAATGGACATTTGTAGTCTTCAAAACTTTACGTCTTGACTTTGCCGCTCTTAAGCCACAGGAGTTAAATATTACTCAGACACGTCAGGATGCCTGCTCATGACAGCAAAAGATTGTACCTCTTCATCTATCG